ATCGCAGGTCTCCGTCTTCAGTGACTGAAAACCGCGTCAATCCTCTTTCTCTTCGATGTTTTTGCATATATCTGCATATATGACAATGAAAAACAAGAATGCATGTTGTTCGAAAGAGGCTAGGTTAGGTGGGCTATTCAGGATCAACAAAGAGTGGTAAAAGGATAAAGGATTCCTGAATGTATGATTTGTTTCCCTGATCTAATGCTTCAATGAGACAATTAAGTCAAAGTTAAGTCCAAATAGGATGAGATTGTATATGCTGCTCAGAAAGAATCTCCATGAATAGAAGTCCTCTGGTGGGAGTTTGTAGTGTAAGTAATCTAGCTACCACTTAGTCTAGTCCTAAATCACAAGATAGTTATAAACGATGGAATAGCGTAGAAGCACACTGGTCTAAATCATCATAGTATTATTTCTTATGTCCCTGGTTTGAAAACTTTTGAAAGAAAATATTATTTTTACATCATAAACCAACTCAAAACAAGTCAAATTTTGTTAGTAACGGATGAACATCCTCCCCCAGGATTATTTCATGCTGTCCTCAGTGTGATAAAATCTAAGAAAGGATGGATAAAAAAGTATGGCAAGCATCACACTTAGATATGAATTTATGGGCGTCCTTGAACATGATAGGCCACCAATAACTAGATTGTAAAACCTTCCCTATAGTTTTATCAGTAGCAAAGTGTCCAACATAGTTAGATCCGTGACAGTGAGAAAGGATGCCTGGAACTTCTTCTTTAGAGATGCATCTTCGAAACAAGTTATCTGAACACTGCTTATAAAGATATGATTCATCCCAAAATTATCTGCTAACATCACGCAAGAACTTCTTCTTGTTGTAGCCAAAGAATCGTGGCGGTTAGATCTTTGCTGCTAGGTACATCGCGATATGCATAAACCAAGGAAGCTCGAAACGTTTTGCTTTTGGAAGTGGGGTTGGACGTGTTTCAAGGGTGAGTACTTTAGCATTACCATCTTTCCCCCACATCTTCAATGAGGTTTTGAGAAGTCAGTGTCGAGCTTGCATCACCTGAGATAGTTCTGCAATTAGATTTCTTTGAGTTGCGTTTAAATTTTTTTACTTTGTGCTTAGATTTTCTCGATTCGGCAGCACCCTTAGGCTCAAACTATAGGGGCTTGTATAGAAACGTGTTGGGACCTTTTCTTGTTATCTCCAGGGTCTAAAATAAACTTCTCTTCCTTTTAAATGGTTATACAGTAAGAGCTTCCATCAGTATAGACTGCAGGATAGAAAATTCTCTTTTGATTTTAGAAAAACAAACTCTTCGGTTGGGATAATCAACAACTGCCCCACTGTTGCAAGGAATTAACTTCCAAATATTAATGTCCTGGGAGTTATTTTCTATCTCAAGAATGTCAAAATCAACAGGAACAAGACACCCTCCTACTTGCACGATCAAATCCTTTACGAAACCATATGGAATCGTGTTTGAATTGTCTCCAAACTTAACAGAACCGTGAGGAGGTTTGGTATCACAAATCCCTATTGCATCATACACTTCAGGACATGCTGAAGATTCAACTTCAGTGTCCTGATTGCTAGGAATAGGCGTGACCTCTCTTTCACCATCAGTGTCTATGACATTGCAACAACACATTGGATTGTCTATGGTTTTTCCCGGAAGATGACCATCTTGTCTCTTCACACTTTCTTCAATTTTTCCAATTTGTTTCTGGAGCATCTTGACATGAGTTGAGAGGTTAGTGAACTTCTCAAACGACTCCTCATTGTTCTTGTTGAGGTAATCATACATGACGTCTAACTTGTACCCAAGATCATTCCTGTTGTCTAACTTAGGTTTAAGGTTGCGGGTGTCTTGGACGATTTTTTCATGCACCTCAGCTACTCGTTTCTCGATAACTTCGGTGCCTTTTGAACCATCAGTGGTTTGTGATAGCTGTACGTCCATCCTATCAACATGAATGTAAAGATCTTCAAATTTACCATTTAGGTCAGTGTATAAGCTGTCCACTTTCATATCCACATCGTCTGCTAATTTTTGCAGCTTCATTAGAAGTGGTTGCACCTTAAGCTCGAGCTTGTTGTCTTGAGAGGCTGGGGATGATTTTTGAGCAGATTGGAGATTTATAAGGGTGTGCTCTTGTGCTGAAAGTTGATGGTTAATCTCAGCTGCATTAACTGCTTCACATACATTAACAGAACGCTTCTGATTTTTGAGAAACAATCTCACCATGTCTTTAAGTTCTTCAATTTCCATATGATCATGGGAAGTAGAACGTGATGTTCATCCTTGATCAGGACAATTGTTTATGCTGCTTGCAGCAAGATTATTAATCAAGACATAAGCTTCTTCCACAGTCCTTGTCATGAAGTTTCCATCGCTTGCTACATTTAGAGGTGCCTTAGATGTCCATTCAAGACCTTCGTAGAAGGTGTTCAAAATGCATGTTTTTGCAAAACCGTGGTGAGGAAATTCTCTAATGTAGCCTTTATAACGATTCCAAGTTTCATGAAAAGATTCGCCTCCTTTTTGTTGGAACCTATAAATCTTGTGTCTAAAGAAGTTTGATCTAGAGGTGGTGAAATGGAATAAAATTTAATGGAATAAAATTTAAAAGAAAATGAACAAGAGAACGTACCTTAGACTCGATTCTGACCTGAAACTCGAAGGCAACGTTAAAGGTCCCCCGTAACGGCACCAAAAACTTGATGTGATCAGGTTTTAACCCTAGTTTTCTGCAAGCGCACAGATGTACGTTGTAGTTCTTAGGGGTCGATCCACTGAAGACCAAGTAACTGCAGTACGAGTTTATTTGAGATGAGAACTGAGCTAAGAAGAAAATATGGGTGTTTGTTTGGGGGTTGTGAATAGTGACGAACATAGCAATCAATAAACTTAAAAACAAGTAATAATAATAACAAATCAATACGAGAAGGTGTCGGGCATTAGGAAATTCGCCAGAAATCATAGACTAGCTAACAAGAGAATTAAACATAGAGTTTTCTATAGATATGTTCCTAAAATCAAACTAAGACTAACCTACTCACGTATTATTAATCACAAATCTATTCACTCAGCTTTACTAAACTCCCATTCAGTTCTCTAAGTGTCTAGACAAATTAGTTTGATAACTTCATAAAACGCTTTAGATCGACTCACGCCGTCTAAGAGAATTTGTTCATCTAAATAGGGTTAGTCGATTCGACAACACTTTCGTTGAGTTAATCAACCTAGTCACAGTAGCTAAATGGTCGATTCAAGCCACATAAATGAAACACAAATTTGGACGAAGAACTTTAAAGATAAACCCTAATCTAAAAAACCAGAAATCAAACCATGAATTCCTTTTGAAAAATCCTTTAAAACCCAACAAGGGAATTACTCAATCACAGTGTATAAGAACATCATAAAAGTATTGTAGTTTGCTGGAAGGTAAAGAACAAAGAACGCAAATGAAGATGGAGATCAATGATGGCTCCTTTGGCGACTCCTTCTCCTCCCAAAGACGGCAACTCCAAAGGTGTGCAGCTCTCTTCTCTGCTCTCTCTCCACGGCTTGGTCATTAGAATGACCTAAAATGAATATATATAGCCTTCTAATTCGTCTAGAACGTCTAGGGTTTGAAAAATTTATAGTGGGCTGAACTTGGGCTTGAATTAGGACATCTTGGGCGTCAATGATGTCTGGACGCGGTCGCGGTGGTCCTGACCGTGGGGAAACCTTGTCTGGCCGCGGTCGCGGCTTATGCTCTCTTTTGAGACTGCATTTTTTGTCTTTAGTGCACCGGAAATATCTGAAGATATAACCGTTGGATTGTCTCCAAACAAATTGTATTAGAAATCTGGTTGTCTCCTCTATATTGTCTCAAATTTTGGCGATGATCAGACGGTGAGAAAATCTTTATTGAGTGCCATACTTCTGATGGTCTGCATTTATTCAAAATTGCGCATTTGCTCCAAATTGCACATCTTTAGTCCAAGTTTCTTGAAATGTCTTTTAAAATTTAAAACATAGAAATCACTTAAAACACATTGAAACCAGACTTAGAACACCTGAATACTGATGTGCTCATTGAATAGCATAAGAATCTAATGGAAAACTTATTTCCTTCAAATTCAGTCGTCAAGATTCAATACCCCACCCCCCTTATTTTTGTGGGAAGCCAATAGAGTCAAACCCTTCTCTACATTGCATCGTGATCTTTGCATTTCAATTTCTTTCTTATAGCTCTCCAGATTTCGAGTTTCTTGGAATACAGAACTTAACTGGAGTTGCTTCTTATTATTTGTCGATTTGTTCCTCAGTTCCAAATGGAGTGGAGTGAAATCCATGACGCTCTCTAAATATGAGATTTCAATGTTCAAAGACTAGAGCTGCTAAAGTAAAATCAAACAAACAGTAATTAGATCATCAACGTATCAAAACATTGTGCACAAAGGAAAGTATGAAAGTTAAGTTGTTAGTGCGACTCTTTCACAAATTCAGACCCCAAGCTCTTGAACAAGCAGAATCTATGGTCGGTTTTGAATTGGAATCCAAAACCCCTTATGCACTATTTAGCATAGCAACAACTTTCAAAATCTCAAAATTTGCCTACCTAATATTAACTTATTAAGTTGTTCATAAAGAAAGTTCAAAAATGACGCAACTATCCCTTACGGTATCTCCATAATTTTAGCTAGGCAATAAAAATGAAGACTTTTATAAGATCACGAGTTCGGGTAGAAGCAAGGAAGGCACTTTCCAGGCCCTTTTTCCAACCCAAAATGCAAAAAAAATCTTGATTACTATAAAATCTCACGTAAAGATTTCCGACAATTTAAAAAACTAACATGAGACATTTATCATTTTAACGCAAACCATTTCAATTCCTTGCTTAAATACGCTCTTCTTTATTATATTATTTTATCTTTTCAAAATAGTGTTCCACTAGGCAAATTCAAAACGTCTTGGCTTTGTATCTATACAAAATTTATTGAGTAAAAATAAAAACAAAATACAAAGGAATGTTTAATTGGAACTAAGAGCAGCAAATCCACCACCTCGCATCATTTGCTTAAACTCCTTAAAATTAACCATACCATCTCCATCAACATCAACCTTACTAATCATCTTCTTGCAATCTTCAAGTGTTCTTCCTTGTTTCAAACCCATCGATGCAAGAACCGATCTTAACTCTTCATCTGTGATGAACCCATCACCGTTCTGATCGAATACTCTGAATGCCTCTCTCATGTCCTCTTCTTCCTCTTTCTCTTCCATCATTTCTTGATACAATGAACCAAACTCATCTATATCCATGAACCCGTCTCCATTCACATCCATCTTTGCTATCATCTCCTTAATCTCATTTTCTGGGACGAGGATACCCACGCTTTTGAAGAAATCTTTCAGCTCGTTCTTTGCAATCTTCCCGTCTCCATTTTTATCAAACATTTGGAATACTCTACTCAATTCTCCACGATCCATTTTTAACGAAATCTTGATTGTTTAAGGCGAAAAGGAATGATCTCAATAAGAAGAAAGATCAATAAATATTTGGAAACAGAATCTAAAAACAAGCCCTAGGCAGGTGAAATCTTGTTTGCATACAATCAAGCAGAAGGACGTTGTCAAAAAGAAATAAAGATTACGAAAAAGAATAGAGAGATGAGAGAAAGAAAGAGGGAGACCTTAACGGATTCAGTTGATGATTCAACAATTTTGGATCTTTCATTTTTTTGTGGACTGAAAATAGTTTTTATAAATGTCCTGAAATAGACAACCTGAATATTCTAATTCTGTCACGAATTAGGAGATCCACATTAGCTCAACCATATTTACTCACCGAGCACAGAAGACACAATATAGTAGCATTTTGGACGCATAATATTAATATACTTTTCCGTTTTGAATTACAAAACAGCTTGAACTCAGTCAAGCAGATTGCAGAACTCATGCATACATGTAGATTTAACGGTTATTAATATTAACTATAAATTATCGAGTATTTCTATTATATACACTAGGAAACAAACCTTTTTCGAACTTGGAGGACAAATTGGAGACACGTCAACAAGGGAGACACAAAGGGCGATTTCTAGGGTTTTTGCATCGATTGTTGTGAAGGATTATGAGGGGAACAGTTTCGTAAACTCCATGGAGATTGTGAAGGATGGGAAGGAGACCGATGTCGATATCACGGATATTGACAAGGTCGCCAACAACACGGGGAAATAATTGACAGATGTGGTGAAGAAGAGGGAGGTTTTGCAAAGGTATGGTGTCGAGGCTGAGGAAAGTGATGGGATTAAGGTTTTCCGAATCCCGGAGGATGTCCTTAAGGAAGCTCAGTTGTGGGATGATTGCATCCTCGGGAAGTTTCTAAAGAAAGCTCCTCATGTAGGAGCTGTACACATGATGGTAAACTGAGTTTGGAATTTAGGGAACAAATCAATAAAGATCGATGTGTATGTGGTGAACGACACTGATGCGTGTCAACTGCGTGAGGGAACAAGTTTTACCCTTAATAAAAACAAATAAGAGCCACAAGTCCACATCTAATCAGTTGTAGTATTTAAGGATTGAATCCACAGAGATTTGTGTGCCTGGTATAAATCTACTGTCTCTAACTTTATGTCTAGACTAGATTGGTTTTAGCGGTTGGTTGTTTATCACGGATTAAAATAAAACAAAAGAAAGCAAATAAATCTAACCTAAGGAGCAAGTAGAAAAATCAAATGGAAAGCAAATGAAGCAAGCAAAATATCGAACTAAAGCAAATGAAATGCAGATCTAAATAAGCAAGTAAAAATCAATTGGTTTGTAAACTATGGCTAAAAACGTTGAGCTTTTGGGAACTCTACAGGGATCATAATCGGTTTTAACACTAGGGATTATAGATTGGGATTGACGGATATCAAAATATAGGTTCTAGAGCTAGAGTACGGCTTTATGACTACGTCACTGTCGTGATCATAACCAACTGTTTCTCGCAACTCTGACTAGTAGGTTTCCACTCTGGCCCTGGAAGGGAGAGAACGCAAGAGCTGCACAAGATTCGTCAATACTCACGATCTCGCCGCAGGTAGGTTTCCACTCATACGGAAAAATCGCCTGTTTCATTCTAGGTCTGATACTTAATGAATACTTTCGCAACACTAACTATCTAGATCAGATACTAGGTGATCAATCAAGCATACATGCAATAAGAACGAGAATAAATAGAGAACAAAGTTAAAATCCCAGATCTATAAACCTAGATGTCTTAATCGATTATGAGAGCCTATTTCGGGAACCCTAAGCCCAACTCGGGATCTACTCAGACATGGCTGAGGTCGACATCATCATTGGTTTTAATAAAATTAATGAAAAACATTAAAGAAAAGAGATAAAAGAAAGCTTCTCTATTGAAGAACTCAGAGTTGAACAATCTTCTCTAAAAAAATCGCATAAAACAGCTAAAGAAAAAAGGGTTTCTGTAAAGTATGATGGTTCTTATCTAAAAACGACCTAAAAGACAAGTATTTATAGTCTTCAATACTCCATGGTCTCTAGGGTTCCAGAATTGAGGCTGAGAAATGACTTTAGGCTTCAAAAATATGGGCTTTAAATCGGTGGTTGGCCGCGGTCGGGAGTAATGTGACCACGGGAAATGGGTGGTTGGCTGCGGTCAGGAAGCTTGTGACCGCGGGAAATAGGCTAGTGGCCGTGGTCTCGTGACTTGCTGGCCGTCTTCGAGTGTCTCCGGGGCAAATGGAATATCTTGAGATCCAACCGTTGGAATGTCTCCAAACCAAGTGCATTTGAAATCTGGTTGATTCTTAGATAAGTCCAATTTTCAGGGTGATCAGACGGAGAGAAGGTCTTTGTCTCTCTATGAGAGTTCTGATGGTCTGCATTTATCCAAAAGAGTCTTTTTGTTCCAATATGTGCCTCTTTATCCCAAATTACCTAAAAAGTCTTTTGAAATCCGAAAACATAGAAATCCTTTGAAAACCTTTGAAAATGGAGTAAAAACACCTGTAAAATAGACATTAAAGTGATCCATAAAAATGGTCAAAATCCAGTGTTATCAACTCCCCCAGACTTAGTCTTTTGTTTGTCCTCAAACAAAACAAAGGCCAAATCTCGGTGAGAGGTTTGAACACACAGGAACTAAACAAAATGTCAGAGACCAAACTTCTAGACCAATATCAATCATTATGCATCAATCAGGAATAGCCTAGAAAATTCTCACTAGAAATACGGGCATAACTAGTCCATTAATCCGTCATGCGGAGGTCTATTGCACTAAGATCTAACTTCTAGTCATCTAGCTCTTAACATTTACTAAAATTTTTGGTGGTTCTCATCAAAGAAAGGTTAAGCAAGGAAATATAGGCTAGGCGTGAAAAGGGTTATTCTAGGGGTAGGCTTAAAGTGTTTACGGGTTATCTGAAGATCTGGAGGATGCAAGATATTATGCAAAATCGCAAGAGAGAGTGAAAATGTTGGTATCACAGTTTTCAGTCACTTTCTTCTTGTCATAGATTCCTAGTCTTCTTCCTCAGGTTCTTTCAAAACCATAGCTCTTCAAACGAATAGTGGTTGCTTCTTGCTCCGAAATTTCGACAATCTAAGACTCATTAGGCTTTTTGTTTCCCTCTCTTTCATTCTTTTCTCTCTTTTTTTTTTTGAAAGAGGGAACACTTTTAGATATAGAGTCATAGAGAGCACGAAATTACCAATTAAAATCAGTCTTGTAAAGCTTAATAAGGTTTCTGATACTCTTCCTTCCCAATTCCATTCAGTCTTCCTCGTGAGTGACTGAAAACAGCGTCGCTCCTCTTCTCTCCGACGTTTTTGCACATATCTGCTGATATAAACTAAAGAGAGAATGCATCAGGATTGAAAACAAGGGTTTTGGGTTTAGGGTATGGTACCAGATAAAGATGAACTGGTCATCTAGGATGACAAAGAGTGGTAAAAATGAGGGTAAAAGACGTCCTAGATATATATCTCGATGCCTGCCTAAAATCAATGATGAGAAAATTAGATATCAATATTAAGGTCAAATAAAATGAGCTAGTATATCCTGTCAGAAAGAATCTCCATGAATAGAAGTCCTCTGGTGGGAGTTCGTAGTGCAAGTACTCTAGCTACTGCCTAGTCTAGTGCTAACCACAAATGAGCTATCATGCGTAGTGTAGAAGCGTGCAGGTCTAAATAATCACAATTTTGTGTCAAACATTCCTGAAAAATACTTAAGGTCGAATATGTTACATATTAAAATTTAAAAAGTACTTGAAATTTTGAAAGCAAAAGCAAGAAAATGATTAGTACGGATAGACATCCTTCCCCATACTTAAATCACAATATCCCCAGTGTGAAAAAGTTGGTGAGAAGATGGTGAATAAAAGCGCAAATAAAATAAGATAAAAGAAAAAAAAATGATGATAGAACCGTGATGGCTATCAAATGACAGTAAAGTGCTGATCAATTACTCCTCCTCCGATGTGTGTGTTTTGGACTGGTGCTGCTCCTGTAGGAAAGTGACAACGCTCAAAGCATCGTCCTTGTCTCTCAATTCTGCGCTCCAGATCAGAATGTGTGTGTGACGATGTCGATGATGAAGTGTGGCCGGTCGAAACAGATGGCTGAAAGTGAGCACGGGCTGCAACTGCATTGGCTGATGGTGAATGGTAGACGAGGCATAGAGGGTAAAAACTCATCGGGTTCTGGAGTCCATCACGGACGGCCTCCGTTACACAATCTTCGGACTGATGCTGAAGGTAAGCAGACTTGGTGCTCCTCGGTGCCAGTGCAAAACTTGTAACCGAACCTGTCTAGATCGAAAGCAGCATGAGAGATAGTGTGATCGCGAGAGAGATAGAGTAGGTCATACCAGATGTCGGGAAGTGGATCATCAGATGAGAAGTTGAATCCTACAGCCTGTAGTATCACTGTAATAGCGCTCCCGTAAGCTGGAGTAGCGTCCTCGCAACCATGTAAATCATGCTTCACCTTCACCATGTTCTGTGCTATGATCCAGGCAAAACAGGCAAGTCGTGGGTCGTCCATAAATGGCATCTGAAGTGTAATGAACTCGGTCTTCAAAACACATCCCATGTAAAATCTTGTGTGCTAAGAGTTTGTGCACAACTCTCACTGCAGGATGAGTTAAAAGGGCTGACTTGGATCTCCTGCTATCATAGACGCCATGACCCATCTCTCTCCATAGGTCAAAATCGGGTTCTTCTTCAAGGTGAATGCCATCGGTGTATGGAAGCTTAAGAGCTTCACAAAGTGAAGAAATGGTGAGCGAGTATGTCTGTCCGCGGATAGAGAATGACAAGATGCCGTCTGATGCTCTAGGGTTCCTCCTCTTCGTGTGGTGGAGTGTGACAGTTGCTAAGAACTCGCAAACTACATGGTTCAGCTCCATGTAGGGTCTCAGCTTAAGTGCATCGATGTAGATTACATCTTCTCTAATTCCAAGCATCTCTAGTGTATGATAATCAATACAGGGCGTCGGTTTCATGTTCAGCTTCTTGAAACGTCTTGCATAGTCCACTCTCGGATTGGTCTCTTTCCCAACATATTGAATCTGTGGTGGCTCGAGAATCGCTCGTGTTTCTCTTGAGTGCTGGAGCAGTCTCATCACGTAGTTTCTTCTCCTCGGTCTGGCTTGGTTCAGCATGTACTCTCCAAGAGTAACATCATCGGGAATGTTCTTAGAGCTGTCACCAGTACGACGGCTTCTTCAGGATCTGTTTTGTTCCATTTTTCCTACAAGACGAGATGATTCTTGGAAAAAGAGTGAATATGGATGCTGATTTTAACACATTAGCGATCAGTTATACTAATCATAGTATCAAGGGATTAGATAAAACCACAAGCAAGCATAATTGACATTGAATCGAAGAAATTGAGTAGTTCATGACCAGATTCGGAATTTTGATGTTTGATAACACCATATTTTGACTACTTTTATGGATCGTTTTGAAATACTTTTTCTATGTTTTTAATTGCTTTTAAGTACTTTTATCACGTTTTTCTAGTATTTTTAGTTTCAAGACTCTTTTCAGGAAACTTAGGGAAAAGCTTAACAAAATGGATAGAAAACCAGATTTCAGCTCAGAGTCAAACCGTCAGAAGTTCACCCCTGATTGAAGGCCTTCTCACCGTCTGATCCAGCTCAAATTTGGAGACCTTAAAGATGGAAGTATCAGCTTTCCAGTGCACTTTACAGCTTGGCAATCCAACGGTTCAATCAAAAGATACGCGAAGAGCAAGATGTCCCGTAAACCAGCTGGCCAGCACTTCCACC